ACCTACAGCGCCCACTTTTGGCACACTTTTGAAGTATGACAAAACCCTCAACTTGTCATAGGTTTTATAAAATTTTAACAATAAATGCGATAGTTATAAACAAATTAAAAAATGGGCACTTTTCTTGTTTTTTTGCAATAACTTTTTTGTTTATTAACCGATTTTAATTTAGCAAGTCTCATTTTGTAGATAATTTTACTCCCTACAAGCTGTCTGAGAGTCACTTTTTGCTAAAATTGATGGTTTTTCCCTGCAAAGTGAAAAAACCGTTTTCCTCACTTATTTGTTTAAATAGAAAAGTTAGCTAATAAAAGTTTTTGACTCACGAGATGAGAGATAATATCGCGGATAGGACTCTTATCGAGTTTCTCTTTTATTTTCGCTAATTTTGAATTCCGATGACATTTGAGATGACATATTTTGTAGGTTATATCTGGCCCACAACAACTTTTTTATTAAGTTCTATTATGACTCCAGTGTTGTCAGATCTAGAGATTATCTGTAGATCTACAGATTCTAGTAACGACCTAAGGACTTACAGATTATTTTTCTCAGTCTACGAACTTTTGAAGTTTAATAAATATTAAATAATATATACAAACAAACATATTTACAAATCTACTCCTACTACATACAGTGTAGCGATTTTGAATTTTTTATTTGTACATTTGACTATTGTGGCAAAACACGGCTCTACCACTTGAGATTTGTGGTTAGCACAAGTCCTAGTAGAATTTTGAACAAAATTTTGTATCCTTTAAATTTACTTTATAGTGCAAATTGAATTATATTTATTTTTAATAAAAGCTTAAGTAATGGGTACATTAATAGACATATTTATCCATGCCAGAAATAGTCAATTTGGAAATAAAAACCAAAGATTGAAAAATGGAATCGGAAACTAATATAAGCAGAAAGCACGCTACTAACCCATTCTATAACCTTCAGCTTCTCAGGATCCGTGTAAACCGCCATTTCCTCCTTCCTCATAGCGTTTATCGTTCTGGGAGCGCTGTCCTTTTTCCCCGTAAACGTATACCCTTGGGAGCCCAACAAGTCACCAAAAATGTCATCGCTTTTCGGTTTGGCTTTCTGTTCGGCTGGCTGTTGGTTTTTATTCAGAGTATCAAAATGAGATCTACTGTAATCGGGACCGACGGGCGATTTAGCTTGATGTTTCGGAGTGGTCGCCGCCGAAGGAATATGTTGGGGAGTCGTAGGCGGTACCCTGTTAGGTGTTTGGCTGCCGCTAGTTGGGGTTGTGGAGGGCGGAAAGTTGGTGCGTTGAGATCCGAAATTTAAGCCACCTCCTAAATTAGCTAATAGAGAAACATTTTTAATACATTTGTATCGAGTTGCAAATAAGCGTTATTCTTACACCCTATAGTAGGTCAAGCAGTTAACCACATTTTCTTTGGACTAAAATAATAATAAATAATTTCTTATGCCACTTTTCAAAAGACAGGGTGTCAAAATTAAAATTTAAAATCATTTTTATTGATAACTTCGGCGATTGTAGATATTTATTTGAAATTTAGCATACAGGGTGGTCCAGATTGTTGAAAGATAGTCAAGTTACGTAAACAAAAACATTCCCATCCTTAGATACTAATGCCTACTTTTAATCTGTTTATATTTCTCAAGCCCAACGGCCCTTACTCATAAATTAACATGCTTATAAACATACAGAGGCATATTGTAGGACTAAGCTTAAGAGAGATTTTTAGTTTTTAATCTGATTTGATACAGAATAGATGTGCTATCTGAATAAGTGAATAAACAATATCTTTTAATTATTAAAGTGTTTTAGTTGTACCCATAATCCCAACACAGATTTTAATAGACAAACTTCGGGAATGTACTAAACAGCAAAAATTAACCACTTTGCTCTATGAACATAGGCACAGAAAACCACCGTTTATGAGATACAGGGCATTAAAATTATCAAAAATAAAACAATTTTTTTTAAATATCTGGAAAACCGCTTCATTAAATTTATTCAAATTTGATACACATTTTTTTTCAAATATTTCTCCTAGTTCTGTATGCATACAGTCCGAAATGTTTCAGACCGTTATAAAATGTATTCATATTACCAATTAATTCAGTGGCGTAGAAGTTTTACTTTAAATAAGGAAACGATATCCTCTTTCCTCCGCCACTGGTTTTTGAATTTGAACTGTCTACATACAGAACTAGGAGAAATATTTGAAAAAGAATGTGTACCAAATTTGATGAAGAGATTTTCCAGATATTTAAAAAAATTGTTTTATTTTTGTTAATTTCAATGCCCTGTATCTCATAAACGGTGGCTTCCTGTGCCTATGTTCACAGAACAAACTGATGTTAATTTTTGTTGTTCAATATTTTCCCGAAGTTTGTCTATTAAAATCTGGACCACCCTGTATATTTTGATCTTGTCAGCACACTTTTTGTGTAATTTTGTTTTAAAATATCAAAGCGCGAACAGAGGGGGGGGATTGCAGTACCCATTGACGCCCTATTCTTTTTGACTACGCTTATGCCTTCCAAATATTTTCTTGTTTTATTCTATTTTTTCACTCTTATAAGATTTTGATTAGCAACCTGGCTTACGAGATATTAGACGTTAGACTTTAATTTTTTTATAGGGTACCAATACTAACTAAAACAACAGTTAAAGAAACGAATTGTACAAGGTAAAGAGCACTTTAGGCTGTCCATGGGTCCTGCAACCCCCCCCCCCCCCCCCCCCCCNTATTAGACGTTAGACTTTAATTTTTTTATAGGGTACCAATACTATCAAAATATGTGCTAAATTTCAAATAAATATCTCTAGAATCACCGGAGTTACCATAAAAATCATTTTTAAATTTTAATTTTGACACCCTGTATATCGAAAATGGGGCGCCGAAATGAAAAGTAACATAAAAAAAGTCTCATTATTTTAGTCCAAAGAATATGCGGTTAAGAATATGTGGTTTGTAACATCCTGTATATAGGGTGTAACTTTAATTATTTTTATAAATGTAGATGGCAGTTGTGACAATCATTTGTAAAACCGGAGGGCACACGAAAATTTAGTCACTGCACTTTGATAGTGTCTGTCTAACCACGAAAAACAAATTTTTTAAAAACACGAAACAAATTTAACATAATTCTCGATATCTAGCAAATTTTTGATTTTAGAGGATTGAACAATAGTTCACCAATCCCTCGAAAAATTATCAAATAAAATTGTTTGTATACCTACCCAGATCGGCAAAGGGGTCGGTTTGTTTCTGTTCGGTTTGCTCCGAAGCGTTATTCTGGGTATAAGTATTGGCCGTAGAGGCAGTAAAGTTACTCCAGCCACCTAATAAGTCGTTACTAGTACCCCCACCCAACGATGCGAAGGGATCGAATAAATTGTTGGGTTTGGAAGTGTTCTGATCGGCAGTAGGCGCTCCGGCATCGAAACCACCAAAGTTTTCGTTAGGTGTGTTGTTCAATCCGCTAAGAAGATCAAAATTTGAGCTGGGGGACCGCTTGGGGGCGGCGTTCGGTACAGTAGGTGCAAAATTGAGGTTCAAGAGATCCACGGCTTCTTCTATGAGCTTGGTTTCCTCCTCCATTGGCTATTCAATGTTAAGAAAAATATAATATTGACTCGGCCGTAATCATTATTAGTCCAACCAAATTACACTTGGAGAAAAAAAAAAATTGTTACCTGGACTTTTATAAGTGGAAATGGCAAAAGGGCTTATAATAAAACTAAAAAAAATAAATGCATGAGCAGGGACGGTGGAGGGTTGATTTGGGGGGTTGAAAAGTTATGAAAAACTGTATCATTGGGATTTCCGGCGAAAGTTGACGTCAAACAAAAAAGTATCCAATACAAAAGTTGTATATCATGCAAAAATACAACTTTTGTAGAGGTCACTTTTTAACATAACCTCAAAATTTCTGAGAAAAATGCAAAAAACAGGTATTTTTCTGATTTTTCGTTTTTTATTTCTCATTTCCGCAAAAATAATTTAATTTTGACGAAACTTGGTGAAAGTATACCTTTCTCTGTCTTAAATAAACTCAAAATTTTTTTAGATAAAAATATCAAGAAGTTTCTGAGATATTCACTTTTCTTTCAAAGAAAAATTCTACTTAAAAAAATCATCGTACAGAGTTCTGCCGGTAATAACTTTTTTCGTTTTGACATATACTTTTTGGTGAAATAAAAAAAAATTGTAATCACAGTTCAAGAACATGCTCAAAAATGCATAAAAATAAAAAATGAGTTGCAACAATGAATTTTTCAGTTATTGTTGATAATTTGTTTAAATTAAAAAACATTCAAAAACTGATTATTACCATTCAATTCTAAGGAAAAAATTTTAAAAAAACTGTCTCATTGTTTGACCCAAAACTTTATTTTTGTACAGTATTGCTATAAACATCTAAGTCAAATTACAAATACACAAATAATAAATTATCTCTGGATGATTTGAGATTTCAGCAATACCAAGTATTAACTGCAAAATCTACTGTTGACGCAAAATCAGAAAACCCGAAATTTTGCAAAATCGTTTAAATCGTTTTATTTTTTTGGGGCTTTATTTGAAAACAAATTTTAAATAAATTGCATATTTACATTGCCACTTTTTTTGCTCTATCCAATGGCGTCAACATTTTTGCAATCCGACGTTTCGTCTTCGAGGGGCCATCATCAGATTAATTTTTTTAAATATATCGCTGCTTTTTTTATGACAAAATCTAGTCATTTTTAATTCTGTATTAGATGATATTACTATTGTAATCGCTTAAAAAGGTTTTAGGCTATCATTAAAAATTTTTCCTGAGTACGGCTCTGAACGCTTTCAAAATACCTGTATCTATTGGAGGAGAGAGAGAGGAGAGAGAGGAGAGAGGGGAGAGATGAGAGAGGAGAGAGATGAGAGGGAGAAAGGGGAGAGAGAGAGAAAGGGGAGAGAGAGAGAGGGGGGAGAGAGAGAGAGATAGGGGAGAGAGATAGGGGAGAGAGATAGGGGAGAGAGAGAGAGGAGATAGAGAGGAGATAGAGAGAGGAGATAGAGAGAGGAGAGAGAGAGAG